ATTAGTGAAAAATGTAATGTCTTTAAAAAAAACTCCAGTTTTGTAAAACATTATTATTGGAATTTTTCATTCACTTAAACCTGAGATTTCAGGATACAGAAATTATTCACAAGCATCCCAACAATAGTTCTGATTAAAAACTCAGGAAATAGAGAAGTGATTACTAAAAAAAGTAAAAAATGGTCCCATTTTGCTTACTTGCAAACAAAAAGCAAATTTAAAACATGGGGTTAAATTACTTCTGGATTTCTCACAGGCTCTATTATTTCAGTATTCCTGTAATGAATGATATGTAAAAGTACATAATGGAAACTTGTTCTGTTGCCTTTAATGGACTTTGAATCAGGCCGTTAGAGCAACATGGAGAGAAAGAGTGCACACTGAAGAGATTCACTGTGAGCTGTGACAGCTCAGGACTTTGCTTCAGCACTTCTTTGGTGAACATGTATCTGCAGAATTTGTGATTACTGCCTGCATTCTGCTCTCACTTTCCCAGGCTTTTATAATGGTGGAATTTACAATTAGTTTCAGATCTTCCTTATTTATGACAGTTTTTTTGAGCTTCAAGCTTCCCTCCCACGTTATGCTGTCTGTTTACCTGAGTCTGCAGATAATATTGAATAATTCATTTTTAGAATGTATATTTGTACTGTTACATGCACATGCAGGGTCAAAAACCTTCCTTTACTGCATGCTGTTAAGCTTAAACTCTTCATTTTAGCAACACAAGGCAGGTTATTGTAAGTCACCTTCTTTGAAGCTGTAAGGTAATGCCTTCCCTTTGCTAAATACATTTGTAAAGCTACACACCAACCTTTTCCAGAGCCTTGAACAATTCAATCGCCAAGCCAGAAGAAAAATGATTTGCTTAAACACCTGTATGGAAAGTGATATCTAATCTTTTATGTTCCCTATTGGAGAGTGCTCAGGTCAATCAACAGTCAATAGAAGGTGGTAGTAACTCTTATTTTATATTTTATTTTACAGTCAGGGTTGAGTATTTGTTTTTGAAAGATTGGAGGGCTTGGTTGGCAGTGCCAGGGAACCGGAATCTTTTTATCTACATGCTTGATAGAAGTCGGAGGAGGCAGGTGCAAAGCAAGCTTTCCAGCACTGTCTGCAGCAATAATCCCCACCTTAGCATTGACTAGCCACCTGCTCTTCAGGCACAGAGATAATTCAGTCTCCAAGTTAGTTCAGTCCTAGGGCTCATAAATGAGTCAAATTACACTGTTGTTGGTGGTTGTGTCAATACATCAATATTTGATCACTGGGTTCTCCTCAAGACAGGGAGTTGAACTTTAAATGGCCTAAACAGATTTTATCTACCTGTGATTTATGCAGGGCATATTCCAAATCCAACTGAAGACAACAGGTAACTTTCCAATGGGTTTTAGATCAGGCCATGACTTACCCAGCTTCTTTTTATTAGAAACAGAGTATTGTAAAGATAAATACATTGTTGTGCTTGTATTTTAGATTGGTTTTAAAATCCAAGAACATTTAATCCAGATTTTGATACCTCATTTACTGTAGAATTTATCAGTTTCTTTGTAAAATACTTTCATTCTGTTTCATTCTCAGACCAGCAGAGACTCACTATGCCTGATGAAGGGTGACTGCGCCTGAAAGCTTGCCAAGATCTTTTTTTCCAACTACTCAGCTGGTCTAATAAAAGATATCACATCTACTCAAAGAACCTTGCCTGTTCATGCTGGTTAGAAATCCATCCACTCTGACATTTATCAGCTCCATGGTGAGTAACTGGGCTGCTTAGAAACACTGCAGAAAAATATCAGTGTGCAAAACAAAGGACATCTTGCTTGAAGGTAACTGAACTGATTTTACCAAAAAAAGGGCAGATATCTAAGTTGTTCCAACTCTCCTTACCTAATCATGATTGATTATATGGGACCATCCTTCCTGTAAATACTGATTGATGGCAGTAGTACTTTTGAGAAAGATTTGCAAATAGCACTGTGTATATTGCAAATACCTGTTAGGAGTGGTGCATAGACCCAGCCTGGACCCCATCATTAAACTAGAAAAATATGGCAGTCTAAGGAATCATTGTTTATTATTTGTATTGAGTCACCACATAGCAATGCTACATGAAAGAGAGGCCTCATTCATTGTCTTGCATACAAATGTGCACACTTGAATGGTAGGGCTGTGTGAGGCTTTGGACAGAGCTTTGGATCTGGAGAAGCTTTGGATGCTTTGGGGTCCAAAGAGGTGCATCTGGGTTGAAGTGCCGCCTCGTTCGGCCTCCCGAAGCGCTTCAGAGCCACCTCGGAGATCCAGCCATAGGGTATAATGGGGAAACACTAAAATATCTATAACTTTGTTGCTTTTTGTCCAATTTGGATGAAACTTTCAGGTATGGTAGATCCTGCAGAGAGCCTGAAGCTTGCCAAGTTTCAAGGAGATCTGTAGAGAGGGTTGGGGGGAATGGCACCCCAAATTCTTGAAAGCAAAACTCATGTCACTTCTAGGTGTTACAATACAGTGGGGTCAAAACTGCAGGGATGGTAGCCTATGCTGAGGCCACAGAGCCTGCCATGTTTCAAGGATATCAGTGCAGGGGTTTGGGGACAACTGTACCCCAAATTCTTGAAAGCAAGACTCCTGTCACGTCTATGTGTTACAACACACAGGGGTCAAAACTGCAGAGCTGGTAGCTCTTAGTGAGGCCACAAAGCCTGCCAAATTTCAAGAAGATCAGTGCAGGGGTTTGTGGAGAACTGCCCCTCAAGCTGGGGACAAGCAAAACTCGTGCCATGGGTGACATTGCGTGTTAAGGTGCAGCAGGGTGACAGCTGCAGGGTGGTGGCAGCTTGATCTTCTTGAAACTTGGCAAATGTCATGCTATAAGCAGAGGCTATTACCCCTGCATGTTACACCCAAATCAGACAAAAAACAACAAAGTTACAGATATTTCATTGATTCCCCATTATACCCTATGGCTGGATCTCCAAGGCGGCTCCAAACCTTCGGAGCCGCTTCAGCCGGATCGAGGCAGAAACCCAGTCTGGAGATCCGGATCGGATTGCGGCCATCCGAAGTGGCCGGATCTGAAGCCAGATCAGATCGCTGCTGACTCGCACAGGCCTATTGAATGGACATCTGAAGAGCTTATAGTCTAAACAGACAAGACAGGTGTAGGAAGGGAGAAGGAAATGTATCATCTCCAGTTGCTTTATGGAACTTATAGTTTCTCCTGACTTTTGAGAAGGATGACGTGAACAAAAGGGAGAAGGAGATAAGTGAATCAGCTGCACAGTGTACATGCTGGTGGTTTATTACAATTTTGCACCAACTCTCATGCTGATCTTTCATAAACATATAGTGACAAGAGGGCGAACGTTACCATGAAAGCCAGTAGTCCTAACATTCCTTGCCAGCAGCTAGCATTGCCTTGCATGCTTCCCTTATGTGACATGATACCACTACATCTAATTATATCTTCAGCCCTTAATGGTATTTTTTGGGTGGCTCCAAGGTATATTTTGCAGGGGTTCCATAGAGTATATTGAGGAAGTTCTCTTGTGGCAGGAGCAAAACTGATGACTGCAGGGAGATTGATTAGTCAAATGTTTCTGTTTCTACCAGACTTACTAGCCTGCAGGAGAATATACCGGCTAGTCTATACAAGGCCTGTCTAGAAAGCCCCAGCCTATATTGTCCTTGCCTCTTCTCCTTCTATTTGCCACTAAAATTATTCAGCAAACAATTTGGATGTAATAATGGAGACGGGGCTCACTACTGTACTGCAGTGCTGGAACCTGGAGCAGATTTGAGAGTTATTCTGTAGCACTTCCTTAAAACTGCTGAGAAGGTATCGATGAGAAAGACTCATTGAGAATTTCTAGTTAAAGATGCCATTCTGAAAATGCAATAGTTAAAAAGTAAAAAGGCAAGGAAACTAATTCAAGGCAGGTAAAATCTAAAATAAATCACTGCAAACTCTGCAGATTCCTTCAAGAAAGGAGCAAATTTGCCTGCAGGCTGCACAGAAAGAATCAAGAGTGCCACCAAACTAGTCTGGCATCACCTCCTCAGGCACCGATTAATTCCATAACCAAGTGATTAGCCAGCTGGGAGCCACTGCCAGAAACTACAGGGGCAAAAAACACCCCTATATCGAACCCTGTCCTATCTCAAAGGAAACCCTGCTATACCCCACCCATGGGGATGTAGGAAGCAGCAGAGAGATGCCTCTAGCCACTTTGGCCCATTTTGTGTCTTTTTTTTTCTTTTCTCCTTTGACCCAGTCTGAGCCTGAGACTACTTTGGATGAGCAGAACTAACAGCGACACCACAGGGGAGGGAAAGAAAGCAGGGTGGAAAGAGATTAGTTTGGGGAAATTAAAAATAAAAGGGGAGAAGAGTAGAGAAGCGAACCTGTTAGAATTTGGGGAATTGTTCAAAGGGTGCTTTCCGTGTTTAACGTTGGTTTTGTTTGAGAACAGGTTCTTTTTCATGAACAATTGCTGTCATTGTTAAATTTCTCATTTTATGCAAACAATTCCTGCTTCTTAACTATTTAAAAAAATAATCCAAAACATTATCAGTGTGTTTCTTTTACCCCTAAGTATTTGTTCAATACACGAAACATTCTGGTAACTGATTTGGTGATGTGAACAATAACATCATTTAATTAAAAACCTACATGTGAAAAATGGGTCTATTTCAAACACTCTAACATGAAAACAAATGACAACTGGCAAACTCTGTCCTTGGTGTGCTGCATGTTTTGTGTTTGGCTGGTAATATTTTGTCTACCTTGTCTACTCACATTATAAACTCAATGAGGCAGGCTCTGCCTTTCAGTCTATATCTCCTTATAATGGGACCTGATCATATATGGATCAGAGTATGAATACCACAGATGTAAGAGTTCACAGTACCTTAACTATAATTTGCGTGTTTCTGTACTTAGATCTGATAGACCAACACCATAAATATATTAGTATTTTTAGAGCAGAAAAAACATTGCACAATTATAATGGAAGAGGTGCTATGGATTTATTTTTGTGACAGCTTTTCACCAAGTGCTGTAGGTAGAATTCCCAGGTGAGTTAGTGTCATATTTAAAAACTGCACACCTTAGATTTAAACAAACAACTTTCATACGAATTAGAAACAAATCTACACAATTGGGTAGCATTACCTTTTTATAAACTGTACAAGTAATGTTTGTCAAAAATTCAATTCAGCTGCTTTTGAATTTCAGTCAGCTACCCATAATCTAATATGCTATAAGCACACTTTGCAATAATGCGATAAGATATTGATTCAACTGTTTTGACAATGGATTGATCAATATAACATATGATTAAGTCAACATATAATTTTAGTGAAAGTGTGGTACCTTATTATTTAAATAATCTAGCCATGTATTTAAAAGCCTAAATCCATCTATGTTCAATCAATGTTTAAGGGAATTAATATACCGATTCTGTATTTGCTGAATCCTGATTGCAGTGTAAGCAAAGACATTTGCTATGATATATCCAATATATACTGCCAGAACTTCAAGTGCTTTCCACCAGTTAAGAATCTGCCCATGGTTTTTTTTCACTAGGGTCTGTGGCTGGTACAAAACACAATTAACCTCATTTGATGTGCCAGGACTTAGGAAAGCAAAAATCCCACTGCAAACAAAACTGAAGGTTCTTCTGAGTCTGTAGTAACATCCTAGGGACAGCGATCTACAGAGCTGCCTTTGCATCAAATGATATAGTGAATTACTTCCTAATGAGTCAAAATCCTTGCAATTCCTCTGGGAACTGCTATTGTCTGGAATATCCTTTTTGATTTTTACCCAATTAGGTAAATCCAAATTCCCCCTGTGACTGACTAACCCATACAAGATATTGTTTATTTGACTTGGCTTATTGCCATTTTAAAAATAAACAGAGAATCTCAAATGTTAGTTGAAAAGGCAAAAATCAACTTTCATCTGGTTTCTTATTAGATAATAGAAACAACCTGATTACACTCAATAGTTACATGTCTATCTCAGTACATTACTAAACCAAGTAAAGAGAAAGAAAGGTACTACTAGGGTATTTTAATTTTGCTCTAAAAAAGTTCTTTAACATATAATAATAACAGATAACATCTGATTTTTGAAGACGTCTAAGAGAAACACAGAGCTAGGACTTGCGTCCAAAATCAAAGATAATAAAAAGTCCTTTTTCAAATATATAGGGAGGATGAAGAAAGCACCAGGAAATGTGGGGCCCCTGCAAGATCTGGGCAATCTGGTGGTTGCGCCAGAGGAGAAAGCAGACCTCTT